GAAATGGTTTCGTAACTTGATTTTCATGCTTACAAGCTCATATTTTATTATTTAAACCATATTTGTTTACAAACCTACGCAGTCTCGGTCAAAGATTTTCTCTTGGGTCATTATGTCTTGAGGGTCAGAATCTGAGGTTTAGCATTTGTCAACTCTGATATAGGAACCATATTGCATATAGACGCTAACACACACAAATAAACATACTCATACAATCGGACAAAAATAATAGTACTAGTACAAAAAAAAATTAGCCAAACCACTCTATATCGATTTATCTAGGTTTTCAATTTTTAATTCTATGGCTCGATTGAGTCTTTATAAGAAGTAAGAAAGAGCCGGATAGTGTTCTTGCTTTAGTTTTAACGTAAGACTTTTACATGAATGACACTTAGCTCTGATAATGTCCATCATATGATGGAAAAAAGCTCAGCACGTTTTCACTTGAAACGAGGAAGTCTCGTGGACTGCGTCAACATGAAATGGTATGAAAGCCAAACGGTTGCAGTACGAATTTCATCCGTCCTCATCTGATTAGATCGACCAACGTATCTCTTCTTCATGCACTTTCATCCTAATTGAAGGTCCCCCTAGCCATACTTTAATATGACTTTGGTCATCCTAGGTAGCTCACTTCGATTCAAAGATTGATAGTAGATTGAGTAGGCTAATGATGCCATGGAATTTTACTTATAATGATGTCTCAAAATACCATCACATTCAGATTAGGCTACATACTTGAGCCCGCTTAGTTCTATTTATAATAGTATCAGAAATCGATACGTGGTCAAGAACATCTAGCGATGCTTAGCCTCTTTTCCCAAAAAACGAGCTCCATGGGAGGCAGGTCAGATACGCCATTAAAAGGACGCCAGGCTGTTTCTGGCGTACATTTATATCGGGATTTTCGATTCAGTAAATATACTTCCCGTTGCGATGTCAATATTTTTCAAAAACTTTCCTGGCGCTTTTGGAATACACATCGAGAATTTCGATCCACATGCCCCGAGACTTCTTGTCCCCCTGCATCATCATCTACTTGAATTGTCATTAGCCCTACGCGTTTATTACTAGCCATTTCTTACACGCATGCTAATTTCGTGGCAAATAGATGCCTGCTTTAACGGTAACCTATCTGTTGTTATGACTGGCTTGTCTAAACTATCATCTCACTATTGACACGTGACAATGGAGTGGCAGCACGTTTAACTTGTCTAGTGCAGCAACCCGTTCGTGGTTCCTGCCTGGGGTGTTTGGAAGGAATTGCGCTGCAGCCCATATGGGAATCTCCAATTACCATTTACACTATTATGGGAAAATTATGTATGGATGTTGCAAGACCTATGAAGACTATATTTTTAAATCCATATTAACTAAGTCTCGCAAGCCCACTAAAAATCAATTATTTCTGAATAAATACGACACTGTTTCATACTTGCCGTAGTTCATGTGTTTCGCACACAGTATGATTGGAGATGTGCGAAGGCCTTCGCTAAGGGCCTAGTTGATACCTGTTTATTCGATCCTCATGTAATCCACCTTATCTAAGCGTAGTCTAGTACTCGTCAAGTTGAATCGGTGCTTATCTACTCACAGAATATAAAGTAAAACATCAAAAAATTACGTCCTAGAAATTAGAGCGATACTCATGGAATTGCTTCGGATGGAAACGAATTCTAAGCAAAGCGAGAGTAAAAATATAATTTGTAAATATAATTTTTATTTGAATTCACAAAAAAGGATTAGACTGAGATAGTATTCGATGGTGTGAAGACACGTCAAAGTTGAAAGATGTATGAACACAAGTTAAGTCAAAATTTTGGACGCGTTGCTTGAAAATATGCCTCGCTCTTAGCAAAATTAATATGGCCAAGGTAAGAAAAGCACTTAAGTATCGCTATGCATGCAGTGAGGGGGATATAAATTGATTTCATAAATTAGTACACAAAAGCAAGATAAATGAGTTAAAGATTAAGCGAAAAAAAGAAAAGTAAAATTAATCTAAAAATTAATTATAGCCATAAGAAGAGGCAAATTTATCAGCCAACAACCTTAGCCCCAGGTATCTTCGATATAGTCTAAAATAGAAAACAAAAAAAGAAGATATGAAGAGGAAAATGGTGTGGCCTCTTGTTTGATCACAGTCAACTTTAGCTGTATAGTTGTGGCCTGACCTCGTTTCCGCAACTTGGTAGGAGCTACAGAGAAACGTTGTGGAAAGATCTCAATCCTGCATCTGCCAAGTTTAACATAATGATTTTCAGTTCCGGACAGTTGACTTGACAGAATCTCAGTAATTTCGCCATCATATTAGATGAGAAGCGCCATCCTTACCATAGGATTACAACCTCTCAGAATAAGTAAAAAATCTCCTTAATCAATTTTCTGTTTAACAGTTGTGGCAAAGCTCCTTGTGTCCTGTCTTCTAGTACTTTATACCCGCTAAACTTACCTATTTATACCATTTTGTGGACTCGTTTCATCCAATTTCGCATATGACCGTGAAGCTTCATGTGGATTTAAAATAATACCTTCATCATAGGTTTAAATAACGTCCACAGAGCTTCTGGCTCACGGCTTTTGAAGTTCGATTATCCCACCATACACCGTCTAACAATTGATTCTGCCACACATGAAAATCATCACATGGCTGTCACCTGTCACCTCTTACTACAAACATAAATTAAGGACTAACCGATATGTTGTTCCAGCTCCGTTTCCACTCCCCGATAACTTTGAAATCTACCAGGATCTTTAGCCTCGAAGTAGTTATCCAAATACTACATAACTACTGTTTGCTGTTGAGGATAAGAATCTCCTATAATTTGTTCATGTGAACGAAGGAAACCATCATGAATATTATTGCAGAGGACGCAAGAATATATAAGCCTAATAGGGCATCCTTCCAGTTTTGACTAATTTGCGAAAGCGAGCTAAAACCAACACCATAGAATCGAGTGAAATAAAATCAAAGTTGAAAAGTCAAATAAGCTAATTATATATTCAATGAGGACGCTTCCGATGATCTTTTTAAAATTAAAAAAATCGAGTAATCATATTTTTGACGAATCATAATAATGCATAGTTAAAATTACAGAATATTCTAGGCGTTAGAATTATTATTCATTATTAAGAATTTGTTAGGTAAGATCCGTTTGCATAAAAAAAAGAATTTGTCCGAAATTAAAGCCAAGAAGGTGATTATTTATAAGTTAGGATAAAGGCACAGTAAATTGAGTGAACAGAAAGCATTAAAATCGTTAAAATCTTGTAATATAATGGGAATTTGATTTAAAAATTATCAATTAATCTCACTTAAGATTAAACATCAATCAACTATCCTATTACGTATGCCTGTGACAAAAATGATCATCTTTACTCCCTATGTCAAGTACAAACTGCAAAATTTTAGTCCGATGTCTAAATGGTTAAGGCAGAGTGCTAGTTAATAAGACTTGAGCAAGTTCCTATTTTTCCTTGACTTTAAGACCTAAGCAATTAAAGGGGTATCGTCATAAACATTATTTCAATTAAAGTGGGTTGAGAACAATTTTAATATATTCTTATTGGTGTTAAGGATAAATCTGTGAGTTGATTAAGATCTGTTTTCTTGCAATTTTACTGCAAGCTAAATGAGTGTTTAGGCTCTCCTTTCTTTGAGGAAAGTGCAATTGTGTTATTCTACTAACCAACACAGATCACATTTGTGAGCGCCAAGACATAAATGCATTTAAGTTACTGAATATTTAATTAGTTAAGGCATACAATTTTTTAAATACGCAAACTCGCCTAATCATATAGTTATAGAATAATACGGGACATTTAAATTCTTATCCACTACTCACTTGGGACAAATCGACTCCAGTAACAGCGCGAACGGCAGGCGGAACGTTTGTGATAAGACTACACAACTCTTTGCCTAATTTGCCTAAAGAGAACGCCTCATCAGAGCCTGGAACACCTCCCAGCAGCACGATTTCTTGTGTTTTTGACAGAGGCGCAGAGATTTCTGCAGCAACTCTAGGTAATGCGTCCAGAATTAAACTAAGCATTGCAGCATTGCTGTAATGGGAGTATGCCTCGGCACGCAGTCGCATTTGCTCTGCCTCGGCCTTGCCACGAGCTTCTAAAGAGATTGCCTCCGCCTTTCCTCGTAGACGGATAGCATCGGCTTCTGCGTGTGCGGCCAATACAGTTTGGGTGCTGTAAAATAGGGTAGGAGTCAACCAGCTCATACATTAATAAGTAGCTTAGACGCTGCAGTCAATTATCACTATTTGCTTGAATTAAGGTTTTTATGCTTAGGTAAAATGCCTTATATCTTTATAGTTATCTGAGTAGTAACGATAGTAAATCTAAGGTTGAAGTTATATTGGAAATAAATAAAAACCAATACAAAAATGTTTAGGATCCATTATATTAAATAAAAATATTAACTGAGCATCTGAAGGTAATTCATATGACAAAAGTAAATTAAATACAGCCGCAGTTGCGTCGTAAAGCTTGATGAAGAAAGTAAATCGCATAATAGATTATCCTAGAAAGGTCCAAATTTAATTAAGA